CTTTTTCTTATTTGATAGTTTTATAACAAAATCGAAATAATATTTACATTTCAAAAATATCCTCATCGACCAACGAACAGTTGCATGCTTCTAGTTGAAGTGGGCCCTAGAGCAACAAGTCACCCTTGGCTGCAAAAAAATAACCTATGTTCATATTGACTTTGCATTTCCCCCTATATTACCTTTTATGAATTGGTAAATAGAAACTGATAGTAGTAAAGTAAATTTTTTTACTAAGAGTGTTCAAAATTTATCAATGTGTATATATTAAAAAAATATTTAATTTATATATACGATATAATTTTCTAGCGAAAGACATTCAATTGTTTATTTAATATTTGCAAAAGATGTAAATTATAAGGAAATTCTTGTGGACACATATAGGGAAGTTTCAAAGTCTACATAGTCAATAGTCGATACCGATTACTACTATTATTAGAGCTAAACAAAATTTTAAGTTGATCAAATTGACTTAAAAATTAATTTTAATTTATTAAAATGTTTGATAATTATTAAATTAACTTATTTTAAGCTAAAAACTAAAATACGTTTTTGATACATTTGGTGCATACCACAAACATTCACTAGCCAAAAGAACCCTTCAAAATATGTTCACTCAATTATAATAAATATTTTTACTTAAATGTTGTCCTCTGTCAGAAAGTATTTAACTATTAACACCTAAAAATATTTATTATAATCAGACGTAAACCCAAATAGTTTTCTACACAGGCGGCGAATTTGTCATCAAATTGATTAATAAAATGCACGGAATCGGCGGCATCCATTACTATCCGATTTGGCTCCATTCAGCAAATTGATGAATGAAATGAACAGAATCGGCGCATCCATTGTTGTCCGATTTGGCTCCGTTCAATTGATGAATGAAATGCACGGAATCGAAGGCATCCATTATTGTCCGATTTGGCTCCGTTCAGCTAATTTAATTTTCCGGCCGACTGATTTTGACTGAGGTAATTTTCACCTAAAACTGAGTCTTATATGTTCTGTAAATTAAGTTATAGTGCTTTAACTCTGCTCTCGCTGCATAGTGATAGCCCTAACTTCAATCTCTCCGTATCTGTGCTATTTGGTTATCTCAATATCCATGTGTTTTGATACGAAGTATGGATATTTTAGGTAAGTATAGAGAAACATTGATTGTTGAGCCTTGAGGTGTGAAACTTACGAAAAAGTGATGGTTTAGGTGTTTTTTTAATCGCTCTGTATTGAAATTTTAGTGCTTCGTGTGAAATACTTCAATCTGAAGTCATTTTCGAATTGTTCGGATTGAGGTATAGTTGATTCGTTGATTTTCCTACTATTCAAAGCAACCTTTTTACCGCCCGGGATCTAAGCATTTGAAATCTATTAGTTTCCAAATCCAAATCAGTCCATCCACAACTGTTAAGAGTAAAGCTAAAATCGTTTTTGGAATATAACAAACCAAAACCATTATGTACTATTGAAACTGAATCATATGATTGGGAGAAAACTTCACACTTTTCTCTTTCAATTTGAAGGAATCTCAAAAGTTAAGAGACAAAAAATAAGTGACGTTGCACGTTGATTAGCTTTGTCATTGCGATCTGATGAGGTACGTTGACTTATTCAGCTCATTGCTTTTTTCTATTTTTGGACAAGTTTATTTTATAGCGTGTTTAGTCATCTCAGTTTGTGTTTTGAAATCATGAAACAAAGTAACTTTACTAATTTATTCGATAGTGTCAGTATTTTGGGACTCTAAAAACCTAAAGACTCGCATATGCTCCCTCTGACCACTTTTACTTTTCTACTTTTAACTTCACATGCCTCTTAAGTAACAATGGTTGATATGCATATTTTACGACAATGCCAATATTAATTGATGAATACTCTTAGGTCTTGGGACATGCTTTGTGAAATAAGTAACTAATATTGACGTTAAATATATTTTTTTTTTGTTGTCTATTCTTGATATATTAGAAGTAATAAAGTAAAAGTGAAAATCTACTTTTTGGAATAGTAGGCGTTTAAGAATTAACTAAGGGAGTAGTAAACCTGACAAGGTGACCACAATAAAAAAGTATATTAGTAAGGTTAGTATTACTATCAACACAATACTCTAATACCAAATCCATGTTTTACCAATAATTGACTCTTAATTTATTCAAGAAAATCACAAATTAATGGAGGGTGAAATTATTGTAGTTCCATGTCAGTAGAATTTGTAAAAAAATATCGACCTATGAGTAGGCAAGGACACATTATAACAATTGTTTTGAACCCCTTCATGCTCTTGTCGTGTCGAAATACTGCACAAAAAGAGGAATAGTAAAGAAAGGAAACGTAAAATATACGACTAATTTACCGTGCTTTCTGTCTCATGAAAATTAGTTGAACCAACATAATTAGCTCGATTAAGCAAATTACCTTGCAAGTTAATGGTACAAAAAATGTCCTCAAACACCAAAATTGACTTATTCGTTATGGCAACCGACAACTCCCTTAAATTTGAATTCCTCGTCAATGCAGTCAACTCCAAATCATATATGTCGAAGTTCAAATAATTCGCCATTGCTGCAATCAAACTAGATTTCTAAGTCCTCGGAGGACCAAACAACAAATACCCTCTTTTCCATGCCTTCCCTACTTCCTATAATAATCTTTTCTCATCAGGAATCTCTCCAAATCCTTCAAAATCATGTGTTTCTGGTCTCCGATTCCATCATGATTGTCTAAAAAGTGGCGGGATGATCAAATTCACCGGCTTCCACATGTCATGTAAATTGTAAATCTCTTCATATCCCACATTATGAATCTTGATCGTCTTGTTTTTGTGTTTTTTGTAATATTGCTTCTTTTATGATGTATGGCAAGTAAGAATTAAGGACAAGGTTCTTGTTTTTCTTGTGAAATGTCAACCCATGTCTGTGGGGTTGTAGAAGTGTTTTAGACTGTACTTGTCTACAGTTTCACTTGAATGATTGCCCATTATAAACATCTACACCTATTGGAATAAAACCTTCATATCAGAAAAAAGCATCATCTTCAAAAGATCTATTATCTTAAATTATTACGAAGGCAAATTAAATGTGGAAGCTTACTTGAGCACCCATGCATATAGAACAATTTTTCAATTCAAGATGTGAATCTTTAGGGAACTAATATTCACTTCTCTAATGGTGGACTACTAGAGAAACTTTCATTATGTGTAATTTGGGGACCATAACCCTATTTATAATTACACATAGTTTGCTTGTTTCTATTTTGTTTGGTTTATTATTAAATTAGAAGTTTTATCAGCATATCTTCACATAAAAACACATACTTTATGATTTTTCTTACGAAACATTTAACTTTTTGCATTAAGTTGACTACCTGACTACTTGTATTCTATGTTGCTCAGACCCTAAAAAATATGGTTATACACGTGAGATTCTCCAAAAGTGCATGACATTAGAAGGATTTGATATTTTCATTTGACAATCACTACAAAAAAACAGAAATTTGCTACAAATTTTATTGCTTATTCGTTGCTAAATAGCTCATAGCTAACACAAATTTTGGATAATTTGAAGTGACATATATTGTTATTAAGCTACAAAATTTTTACACTACTAATCCACATATTCTTAGTACTAAATATATTTTAAGAGTTCAAGCAACATAACTTTTAGTTTGATCTAAAACTTTTATTATAACAAATAATATAACTTGCAATTATCATGTTATATATAAATGTGTGTGTGCAAATAAGTACCTCATTACGTTTCATGGTGATGTTCAAATTTTTCTCCTTCTCAGTCTTACTGAATTTAAATATATGGATTTGAGGGGACAACTTGTTGGCCAAATAAATCGATGCAACTTCATAAACTTTGTTGTTGAAGAGGCCATCAAATTCGTCAATCACCATCGTTAGCTGATTTGAGAACTTGGTGAACATGTTTTTGAGTCCAAAGAAGAGATATGCATGCAATTCCCTAGGGATGTAGTTGTGGATTATCGTAGGGACCAACATGATTGTTGCAGTAACTAAGCCTACTCTCGATAAAATTGTCTTGGCGAGGGTTAATTTTCGATTTTGCACATGAAGAGGACATGCTTCTTAAGGGCTTTTTGGCTAGTGGGTCTGTAACAACTAAATTTTTGTTCCTGAAAATGTAACAATCAAGACAAGAAAGTACGATAAGTATTTATATTTTATTTCATTATGTGTGTGGATTACAATCTTTATGAAATCTTAAATAGAAAGATGTAATCGTTTTATTCTTATCATCATGACCAGTATTTTGGATGGTTAAAGACGATAAAAAGCGACAAGGATCTGTCTCGCCACAGGGTGAGGCGAGCAATGAGGCGCTCACCTTTCGTAAAGTGCGGCACCATTTAATAGCAAAAAAGTAAAATATTTAATTGCATGTGTAAATAATTAAAATCTCAATAGCAATAACATATTAACAAATATTTCAATTCAAAAACTGAAAAATAGATAATACATGCTAAAATAAAACTTGAATGAGAAAAAAAAACCTTAACAAAAGTCAAAACAAAGGTAAGAAGAAGGAAAAAGAAATAAGAAGAAGGAAAAAGAAAAGAGGAAGAAGAAATATATATTGGTTAAACTTTGGAGTTGTCGGAAAAGTCTGGCTAGTTGCCGAAGGAGTCTAGTCGAAAACGCTAAAATTACGTTTTAACTTTTGAAACCCTAAATTGGTCGCCTAAGAAAATACAAAAGGCGACACCTTTCTTGCCTTTTGTCATCATGTCGTCGCATTTTGATGATCGTCTCGCCACAAAGCTAAAAGGATTTGAAGATCGCCTCGCCTCTCGCCATCAGTGACGAGGTGATCGCCTTTCACAACAATGATCACGACCATCAACTCAAGGTTTTATAGTTGTAGAAGGTAGACTATTTAAGTGTAATTAACTCTCGCTTGATTTTGATCAGCTCATTTGATGAGGTCACATTTAATTAGCCAAGACATGTCAATTGGAACATTTGTTTGCTATTGATGTGTTTAATATGACTTGGAGTGCCACATCATTGGAATACGTGACATCATTTTATTTGTCCTTTATTTGACTTGATGTGTCATGTCATTTGACACATGGCATGTGCCTTGGCCTAATTGAGCGGGCTCATTATTTGAAGACCGACTCAATGGACTAGCTCACGTGAAATTGGACTTTGCTTAAATCCATATCTTGGAATTAAAAAATCTGATCTTGATTTGGGTTTGATATTTATTGAATTTATGTGAATTTAATCTAGATTTATTTCCATAAATTCCTAAGTCTACTAATTCCTCAAGATTTTGCTGAAGTGTTATGTGCCTAAAACAAGAGTGAACTTGTAGAAAGCAAGAGTGAGTAGTAGAAACTGACAGCCTTGATTCATTGGTTTAGATTAGTTTTAATCCAGAAGAGGTCTTGGGTTCAATACTACTTAACCAATTTTTTTTATGAGTATATTGTAGTTTTCAAAACTAAGCTTAGTTTGAGGTTTGAACCCCTGACTTCAAACACTAAACCGGACAGTGAACCAACATGCAATCAGTTTATTAATATCAAATAACATCATTTTGTTTTACATATAGCTTTATACATAGTTTTAGTATATATATTTTGCAAAATTTTCCAACAAGCAGTGTCGCTTGCCACCCCTTTGCTAAATGTAAGTCTACCCTGTTGAGCTCCCCTATTCTTCATATTTGCATAGAAATAAGCAGAATTAAAATCCTCTAAGTGGAGCCACTGGACTCTAAATTTCAGCGTATTGATGCTCTCCTCAATCACACTCCATTTTTCTAGTTTAAATTTTGATGACTTTTGCTGCTCAATCAATATAGGGTCGTGCCTATGATCCCTCATTTGTTCTTGATGATCAGTTAGATCTTTCCTCCATTGCCTTTTATCTGCTTGAAGGAGTTTTATTAGGAAATAAGACGAGTTTCATAGCAATAATGGAACAGAAGGTGAAAGAGAATAAAGTCAATAATGTTATAGAGAAGATAGTCTCATAATGGAATGGCTAGGAAACTAAGCTCAAAGTACTAGAAATAAAATTTGGATTTTGTGGAATCTCCAACTGTAGTGGAGTACACTATGCTTAATATAGGAAAGTATCTTCGGGGTGGTCCACTGGTTTGGGCTTGGGACTTCTATGTTGAAGGTCTCATGTTTGAAACCCCTTGCCAGCTAAAGCAAGAGGTTTGCCTCCTGGGTCGAGCTCGTCGCATCGGTTTGCCTAGTGCGGGTTACCTCTCTTATGTGGTCGCAAGCTATTGCATGGGAGCGAGGGTTTTACCCCGTGCGCACCCAAAGGATGGAGGCTACGAATTTCCCTTGTCATAAAAAAATATAGGAAAGTTTTAAAGTCATAGTCAATACCAACTATTACTATCATTAGTCATGGTACAATATTTTTTTATGACAAGGAAAACCCGCAGCTGATACCCTTTGGGTGCGCACAGGGTAAAAACCCCGCTCCTATTCAATAGCTCGTAAACCAGATAAGAAAGGTAACCAGCACCAGGTAAGACTGGTGCGACGAGCTCGACCCAGAAGGCAAACCCCTTGCTTTCGCTGACAGGGGGTTTCACACTTGAGACCTCCAACATGGAAGTCCCAAGCCCAAACCACTGGGCCTGCCCGAAGGATACAATTTTTCCTATTTACTTTGGACTATTTCTCACTTTATTTGATTTTCTTTTCTTCACACGATTTTACTATACATTTACCATTTCCTCAATTGCAATTGCGTCAATATTTTGGTTACTATTTTTATTTACACATTTGGTACATAACAATAACATCCACTAGCCAAAAAAACCCTTAAACATATGTCCTCTTCATTAGCAGAATGGAAAATGGCGTTGACCAAGATTGTTTTATCAACAATAAGCTCTATTGTTGTGACAATCATGTTGGTTCGTTCGATAATCCACTGCTACATCCCCTTTGAACTCCATGAATATCTCTTCTTTGGACTCAAAAATATGTTCACTAAGTTCTCAAATCAGCTAAGATGGTGATTGACGAATTTAATGGCCTTGTCAACAACGAAATTTATGAAGTTGCTGAAATTTATTTGCGCAACAAGTTGTCACCTAACATTCATCGACTTAAAATTAGTTAGCCTGAGAAGGAAAAAAATTTCAACATTGCCATGACATGTAATGAAGAGGTAATGTTATACTGATAATTGCATCTTATGGTATTTGTTACCATAAAATATTTAGACTAAACTAAAAATGATGTTGCTTGGACTCTTAAAAGATATACTAATAAGAATACATGAATTAGTGGTGGAAAAATTTTGTAGCTAAACAACATATCCACTACACATCATAAAAAAATGTGCTGGAGATGAGCTATTTAGCAAAAAATTTCGTAGCAAATTTCTGTTTTTTTTGTAATGATTGTCGAGTTATGTTTGACCTTTCTAAAGCAATGCACTTTTGAAGAATTTAACACATGTATGACCACAATTTTTAGGGTCCGAGCAATCTAGAACAGATGTAGTCAGACGGTCAACTTAGTGCTTAGAGTTAAATGTTCATAAGAAGCATAATAAAATATGTGTTTATATGTATAGATATGCAGATACTACTTCTAATTTAAAGATCAATTAAACAAATTAGAAACAAACAAACTATGTGTAATTATAAATAGGGTTACAGACATATGACTTTTTTTTCTAATAGTCCCCATTTGAAAGTGAATTAATTCTTGGGTTGTTTCTTGAAATTATGAATTTATCTAATTTAATTCCATAAACTCCTAAATTTACTAATGCTTCAAGGTTTTGCTGTAGTTTTATGTGCCTAATGTGACAAAATAGTAACCAATAAATTGATTCTTGAATTAATTTTTTTTTACGATCTACAAGAAGGTAAGGGGAAATAGAGTTCAATGGCAATTGAGGAAAATACAAAATTTATTGGAAAATCATTTGGAATAGTTTATATTCAGACTAAATAAACTAGTTGTTTGATGTCATGCTTGTAATGCTTAGAAACTAACATCACATACAGAGTCTACGAGAAAAATTATAAGAGTGTGAAGAAGCAATTATGGTTATAGAAAGCATGAAGAATCTGTAAACAAAATGCAGGAAATACTTGTAGAATTATTCTCCTATTCAAATGTCAAATGGAATAAGAAAACATTTTCTTACTCATAAACCAAATACAGTAATAGCAATATGAAATTTCAGCTAATTATTTTTGTTCGTCAATCAATATAATAGAACTCTTAAGGGGGGCATACCACTTGATCGTTTACATCAGATTAACGATTACAAAATTACTCCTTATCTTTCTTTCTTCTAATCAACAGACTCCATTTGAGTTATTTCCATGGCCTCTTCCTTCTCTTTCATCTTTTTGTGAAGAAAATTAATCAACCTTTTTAGTGAATCTTCAACTTCATGTTCCTGCAACAACTGCTCTGCCACTTCTGCTGGTGTCACATTGAGTATGTCTATCAATTCCTCAATTTCTTTGAAAAATTTATGATCCTTAATCCCTAAGTAATTGGTAGCAAGAAGTTTGAATCCAGAAGGTGTGCAGTATGTCATGTGAATGTGCACATCCATTCTGCCAGGTCGCAGCAGTGCAGGGTCAAGCTTTTCTATGTGATTTTTTGTGAAAATTATGATTCTTTCGCCTCCACAGCTCGACCATAGCCCGTCAATAAAATTCAGTAAACCTGACAAGGTGATCTGCAATAAAAAATATATATCAGCATGGTAAAGTATTACACAATACACTATTACCATATCCAAAGTATCCCAATAATTGACTCTTAAATTATTCAAGAAAATTACAAATTAATGGAGGGTGAAATTATTGTAGTTCCATGTTGGTAGAATTTATAAAAAAATATCGACTATTTCGACACATTATAACAATTGTTCTGAACTCCATCACATCTTGTCATGTCGAAATGCTGAAATAAAAAGAAGCCAACATATCCTATCTAATTTATGGTAATTAATCAATTAACCTAAAAATACTAATAGCAAGAGGGAAACCCGTAATCTTCAACTTGACCAATTCCCTGACTATAGATGTCAAACTACCCCATAAACTAAAACCAAGTCGGAATAGTAAAGATAGGAAATACAAAATTAAAAGACTAAATTTACCATGCTTTCTGACTGATAAAAATCATTACCATGCTTTCTGACTGATAAAAATCATTTGAATGAACATTCATATCATGATTAACCAAATTAGCTTCCAAATTAAGGGTACAATCAATGTCCTCAATCACCAAAATTGACTTATTGGTTGTGGCAACCAACAACTTCCTTAAATCTAAATTCCTTGTCACTTTAGTCAACTCCAAATCATATATATTGAAATTCAAATAATTCGCTATTGCAGCTATCAAACTAGATTTCCCAGTCCCCGGAGGACCAAACAACAAATACCCTCTTTTCCATGCCTTTCCTACTTTCCAGTAATACTCTTTCCTCGTCATGAATTTCTCCAAATCCTTCAAGATCATGTCTTTCTGGTCTGAATCCATCACGATTGTCTCAAAAGTGGTAGGATGATAAAAGTTCACCGACTTCCACATGTTATGTAAACAGAATTTCTTTCCGTAACCCACAGTATGAATCTTGATCGTCTTGTTTTTGTGTTTTTGCAATGTTGCTTCTTCCACGATGTATGTCAAGTAAGAATTAAGGACAAGGTCCTTGTTTTTCTTGTGAAATGTCAACTCAAAGGACCTTATTATAGATTTCTCAGCAGAATCCATGTCTCTGGGGTTGTAGAAGTGTTTAGACTCTGTTTGTTTGCAGAGCCAAATCCACTTGAATGTCTGTCCATTATAAACATCTATAACCTGTTGGAATAGAATCACAAGATTAAAGAAAAAACATCATCTTCACAAGATCTATTATCTTAAATTATTACGAAGGTAAATTAAATGTGGAAACTTACCTGAGCACTTATGAATATAGAACAATTTTTCAAATCATGATTTTAAGAAAAGTGATTTTTACTTTTCTAATGGTGGACTATTAGAAAAATGTCATAGTTTGTTTTTATTTTTTCTTGTTTATCAGTGAATCAGATGTTGTATCAAGATATGTTTGTCTGATCTTGAAACCCCAACCCCAACCCCAACCCTATTTATAATTACACTTAGTTTGTTTGTTTCTAAGTTGTCTAATTTATCATTAAATTAGAAGTTGTATTAGTATATCTAAACATAATAATACATTTTTTATGATGCTAAAAGCTAAAAAATTTATTTCTAAATAGCTCATAGACACAATATTTTTTATAATCTGTAGTGTCAAAATATTTTTGTTTACCCACAGAATTAGTCCACTCTAGTCTATGTATTCTTAGTAATTAATATATTTGAAGAGTCAAAAGCAATACAATATGTATATGCACGCAAAATATTACCTCCTCATTACGTTCCATGGTAATGTTGAAATTTTTCTCCTTCACAGTCTTACTGATTTTAAGTCTATGGATGTGAGGGGATAACTTGTTCGCCAAATAGATTGTTGCAGCTTCATAAATTTTGTTTTTGACTAGGCCATCAAATTCGTTAATCACCATCGTTAGCTGTTTTGAGGAATTGGTGAACATGTTCTTGAGTCCATAGAAGAGATACGCATAGAGTTCCCTGGGAATGTAGTTGTGGACTATCGTCTGAACCAACATGATTGTTGTAGCAATTGAGCCCACTCTCGATAAAACCCTCTTTGCTAGGGCTAGTTTCAACTCTGTTGATGAAGAGGACATGCTTCTTAGGGACTTTTTCGCTAGTCCGTGTGTAAGAACTAGTTTTTTTCCCCTGAAAAACGAACAATCAATGCAAGAAAATAGCGACAAGTATTTAATATTTGATTCCAATTATGTGTGGGATTATAATGCTTATGAAATTTATGTAGAAAGGTGTAATCCTCTAATTCTTATCATCATGACCATCAACTGTTGGTCTTTGCTTGTTCTTGAGTTGATGATTCATTTGTTATCGAAATTTTAGTATGAATATGGAGCTAGGGTTTGATCACACATATGAAGGTATAGAAACTTACGACTCACCACCAGAGATGAAGAACTTGCAGATCGCCCCTAGAGTGTATAGTTCTCTCTAGTTCTTCGGATGATCTTCAGATTGAAGATGCTTTCTCCCCAATTCCTTGAATGATCCCCTTGAGAGGTATGTATCACCCCTATTTATAGTTGTAGAAGATAGACAATTTAAGTGTAGTAGATGAACTCTCTTGCTTGATTTTGATTGACTCATTTGATAAGATCACATTTAATTGGCCAAGACATGTCAGTTGTAACATGTGTCTGCATTTGATTGGTGTTTATTATGACTAAGTGTGCGGCGTCATTTGAATACGTAATATCATTTTATTTGACTTGGTGTGTTGTATCATTTGACACGTGGAATGGGCCTTGGGCTAATTGAGCGGGCTCATTATTTGAAGACCAACTCAATGGACCAGCTCAGGTGAAATTGAACTTATCTTTAAATCCATATTTTGGAATGAAATTATTTGATCTTAATTTGGGTATGATATATTTCTAGATTTAATTCCATAACTCGTATGTCTACTGATGCTTTAAAATTTTTCTTTAATGTTATGTGCCTATCATGTGATAAAATAGTAACCAATACATTGATTCTCGATTTTTTTTTGATCTACAAGAATGTAAGGAGTAATAGGGGGTGGAAAAAAAGAGCGGGTGGAATACGAAGATCTAACCACCAATATGTATAACTTACCTTTTTAAGTTTAGGTGATACCTTTTTATCACACAATACTTTAGCGGCAAACCTTCATTTCATCCATGCTGCCCCAATGTGATGTATGACATATCCTCGATGTCTCCACTATTCTAGAGTACGAACCCAAGATACTTACAACTCCCTCTTGGAAATAGTTTGTGTGGCAAGCTTCTTATTAATAAACAATATGTCGTCTACAAATAACATATAGCAAGGCACCTCCTTTTCAATAGACCATGTCAACTCATCTATCACCAAAGCAAATAAGAAAGGGTAAAGAATTGATCCTTGATGTAGCCCCATCTCAACTAGGAAATTCTCCAAGTCTCCTTTGATCGTTCTAACCCGAGCCTTAGATCTATCTTTCATGTTCGCCCTAATATATGCCATCAGGATACCTTAGCCACAAAATACCTCCAGAGAACATCCCTTGGGACTTTATCATAAGCCCTTTGAAGGTCAATGAACACCATATGAAGATTCCTCTTTTTTTCTGTACTTCTCCATTAATCTCTGCACTAGGTGGATGTTTTAAGTTGTCGAACACCCTAGCATGCACCAAAATTGATCCCTAGAAATGGACACGCCTATCCTCACCCTCATATCTACCACTCTCCCAAACCTTTATTGTGTGGCTCAGCAATTTGATACTTGCAGTTTTGGATTTCACCCTTTTTCTTGTACAATGGAACCATTGTCCTCCACCTCCATTCGTTGGGCTTTTTTGTTATCTTAAAAATAGCATTAAATAAAAAAAATAAGGAAATAGTAAAATAGTAACCAATATATTGATTCTTAAATTATTATCTTTTTCCGATCTACAAGAAGGTAAGGGGAATTAGGGTGCAATGGCAGTTGAGGAAAAATATCAGATTTAGATGTTATACACAAAAGTATGCAAAAATAACTTTAATGATTTTGTGTAGCAAGAAAAAGGAATGTGTTGATCAATCTTACTAAAAATATAGAAAGAATATGAATGTAATAAAAACAAACATTAGCAGCCTTTCGTTGTGAAGTTATGACTAGAATTGATGGGTATCATTAAAATACTATTTTTACCTTTGAAATATCTTTACTTGAAACTTACTATTTGCATGACAAATTACTGATGAATGTTTTATTTTATTCATAATATATTTCTTACAAAATATTATTACACAATATTTGAGAATGATTTTTGTAGAGGGGTTATTTGAGTGTACTAATATAATGAATGTTGTTATAGAGAAGTACAATATAATATGAAAAAACTATTGGAGAAAATCATGTCGTAATAATGACGGTCGTTATAGAGTGTTTTGATGGTAGTTAGTATTGACGATGTAGACTTTGAAACTTTCCTATATTGTGCCCTCTAGACTTTGTGATTCTCAACTAAGGTTGTGTGATAGATATTCTTGGTACTTAAGGGTACTCCAAGATATCTAAATGGCATGAACCCGTTTGAAAAGCCTAATCAGTAGTTGTTGGTCATCTTTTACTAGGGATGACAATGGGGCAGTGCGGGGTAGGGGTTGGGCGGGTTGAGCTTAACCCGCAAAATTTTTAATCTGCCCCGCCTTGCATCACAATTTGTTTCATTTTCAATCCACCCCACCCCATCCCGCCTCCCATAGACCTGCACCGCATGAACCCCCCGCATAATTTTTTCCTTTTTTTCTTTTTCTAGCTTAGTTTGATACTAAAATAAAATTCGTAAACATAAATTCATTTTTGTATTAATTTAATAGGATAGTGACTTCCAAGTTTTATTTTTTTAGAGGTCATATTATATTTTATTGAACCATTTTCATTCACTATCTTAAATATTTTAGTAGTTTTGAAGAAATTATCCTAATAAATAATATTTTTTCACTCTTATAACATATAAAAAGTTAAAATTAAGCTAGAACCCACATAAAATTACACATACCCGCCTCAGTCCCGCATTAGTATTTAAAACCCCACTTCAATCCGCCCTGCATCCCACCTGCTCCGCACAACCTTCAACCCGTCTCGCCCTGCCCTACACTGTATAGCCTTAAACACACCCCACCCCGCCCCGCATCGGTTCCGCGACATTGCCATTCCTGTCTCTTACTCCAAAATAAATGGAGCTTTTCTCCTTATTTTCCACTAACCCTGCAAAATAATAATAAATCATCAGCAAATCCTAGTTGGACCAGGTTCAACTTTGCACATCTAGGATGGTGTTTTAGTTGTGGTTGGAGCTTTAATCTCTTTAGCAATCTACTGAAGTAGTCATAGCTAGAAAAAAAATGTAAGGAGACACTGGGTATCCTTGTCTTTTTTTGATGAAGTAATTAGTTCTATTGCAGGCATCAAGTAGATGCATAATAGTTACAAAAGCTTAGTAGCAAAAGGTTATCTCTCATTTACATTGTTAATTGAGAATCAGGGAGTAGACATGGTTTAGAAGTGAATCAGGGCAATCTAGAGGGGATAAATAAACCCAAATATACAAAAACATGAGGCAGTTAGCTTCTAAAGATTGGTAAGTAGTTGATATTCCATCAAAGCATCTTCTATTCCTTTCGTTCCAGATACTCCAAAAAATGGCTGAAGGTATCATCTTCCATATTCTCTTGATGGTGCTATCAACTTTCCAGCAACCCCAGCTTATTACAACATCCCTGATATTCTGAGGCATGACCCATTTGAAGCCAAAAAGATCTAAAAACATACTCCACAAGTTTGCTGCTATTTGACATTGTAGAAATAGGCGGTTGTGTGTTTCTGCTTCCTTCTTGAACATATAACATCTGGTAGCCATCTGAAACTTCCTTCTGGTCAGGTTGTCTTGGGTCAGGCAAGCTCCATGGTCCAGCTGAAGCAACTAATCTTAGGAGGCAATTTTATCTTCCATATAAGCTTCCAAGGCTAGTGGTCTGTAATTGCATTTCGTGGGCCTAGATGCTTGAGAGCTGCTTTAACTGAGAACTTCCCACCCCTTTTTTTCTCCCCAGTTGAGCTGGTCTGGTATTTCACTGTTAAATGCAACACTGTAAAGTGTTGCTAGTAGGCTGACCAACTCCTCCATTTCCCAGTCCTGTATGTTCCAAGAATTCCCTTTTCTGTATTGCTGATTAGTAGAGTTAGGCTCCCTTGCTTTCTGGAACATGTTAGGGTAAGCAACCATTAAGGAGGAGTTGCCTATCCATTTGTCTCTCCAGAAACTGATATGTTGTCCATTCCCTGCAATTAAGTATTTGTGTTGAGAGAACTCCTCCCATAATTTGCTTATACTTCTCCAGACACCAACTCCATATGGAGCTGTTGAAACATTAGAACACCAGTGGTTTAGTGCTTCATGTTTAGCAATAATCACATCCTTCCAAAGGCTATGCTCCTCTTGAGTGTATCTCCACAACCACTTCATAAGTAGGCATTTGTTTTGCAATGCTAAGTCTCTAATGCCCAAACCACCTAACTTTTTTGGTAACAAGACTATTGGCCAATTGACCAAATGGAATTTATGGCTTTTGTTATTCCCTTCCCATAGAAAATTCCTTCTGGTTTTGTCCAGTTGCTTCAAAGCCTTACTAGATATGGGATGTAGTGACATACTATATGTGCTATCAAGTACACTGATTATCAATGTAAGTCTTCCACCCATAGAGAGGTACTGCAGTTGCCATTTAGCAAGCCTTTTTTCAAACTTTTCAATCATTCCACTCCAGATGCCATCCGCCTTTTATTTAGCCCCAAATGGAAGGCCTAAGTAAGTGGTTGGGAAAATTCCAGTTCTACAACCCAATATGTCTGCCAGCTCCTCAATGTTCTGCACCTCATTAATAGGATAGATCACACTCTTGAGCATGTTTATATGGAGACCTGAAACAGCTTCAAATATGAGTAGCGTAAGGTTTAAATATAGGACCTGCTCTCTGTCAGCCCCACAAAAGATCAATGTATCATCTGCGTAAAGCAAATGTGAGATGTTAACTGCTCTATCCCTTCCTATATCAAAACCTTTGAGCCATTGCAGTTGTTTGGCTTTGTTTAACATTCTACTCAACCCTTCCATAGCTAGGATGAATAGAAAAGGTGAAAGTGGATCACCTTGCCTTAGGCCTCTCTGTGCAGAGAAAAAGCCTACTAGGCTTCTGTTGATTAGAACTGAATACTTAACTATGGAGATGTTGAACTTAATCCATTTAATCGACCTATCACCAAACCCCATCTGCCGGAGAATAGATATGAGATAAGACCAATTCAAATGGTCAAAGGCTTTCTCAACATCTAATTTGCAAAGTAGTCCAGCATTCCCTTGTTTCAATTACCAATCAAGCACCTCATTTGCTATGAGTGAGGCATCAATGATTTGTCTCCCTTTGATGAAGGCATTTTGTTGGTTTGAGACTAGTTTCCCCATAACTGTCTTCAATCTATTTGCGAGGACTTTTGCAATGATCTTGTATATGCTTCCAATCAAGACTAATAGGTCTGTAATCCCTAAGTTCGCTTGCCCCCTTTTTCTTAGAAAGAAGTGATATGTATGAAGCATTACAAGACTTAACTATCCAGCAATGTTGATGGTAGTGTTGCATAACTGTTAATAGATCTGTCTTGATAAACTCCCAAGAGCTCTGGAAGAAAGCCATAGTAAAACCATCAGGTCCGGGGGCTTTGTCAGGGGCACTTGATTTAATGGTTGCTAATACTTCCTCCTCTCTGAAAGCTGCTTCTAAGTTACTGCTTTCCTATGATGGAGGCAATTCCTTCAAACATGATTGTAGGCCTTCACTCTTCTAGTTCAGTGTACACTCCTTCAAAGAACTCTAGTGTCTTCTTTTTAATTGTCTCCTTATCTTCAATGACCACATTGTCTAGTAGAAGTCTGTCTATGCAATTGGATCTTCTACTAGAATTAGCAATCTTCTGAAAGTATTTGGTGTTCCTATCCCCTTGAGCCAGAGGAACTTGGATTTTGCCTACATGAGATCTCCTCTATCTTGGCTAACTGTTGTATCTCAGCTCTCAGGCTTGTCATTTGACTAGCCTCTATAGTGCTCAATTGTTTGCCTTCAGTGTTCCGTTCCAAGATCATCAACTCGTCTAGTGCTTTTCCTTTCATGGTCTCCAGTTTTCCAAATTTCTCCTTGTTCCAAGTGGTTATGTCCTTCTTTAGACTCTTCAATTTTTGCATAAGGATGAAATCAATCCGCCCATTTAAATTTTAGCTCTGCCACCAGAGTTTTAGCTTATCCAGAAAGCCATCAACTTCCAGCCACATGTTCTCAAATTTAAAGTAGGAAGGAGTGGCATCCCAATCCTCACTTTCCAGTAAAATGGGCCTGTGATCTGAAATTACCCTTGGCAATGCAATTTGTTTCACAACCTTGAAAGAGTCATTCCATTCCGAGGGTATAATGAATCTGTCAATTCTCAAAGCTTGTTGATTGTTCTCATCTCTGGACCAAGTGAATTGGGCTCCCTGCAATGGTAGGTCAATTATCCCCAGGTCTTGGATTTTATGTCTGAGAATGTTGCCATGGATCTTGATCTCCTTTTGCAATTTAACCGTTCACTTTCAAATCTGCATACATTGAAGTCACCCCCTATGACCCACTCATGTTCCCAAAGTCCTCTTATCCCTGCTAGTTCATCCCACATCTCCTCCCTTTTCGAATTAGTGTGTGGACCATAAATGCCCATGAAGCACCATCTGAACTCTTCAAGTGTACTTTGTAGCATACACGAGATCGAGTAACAGCCCAGTTGTGTGTCCATTTTCACCCATTTCCTTTTATCCCAGATTACTATAATACCACCTCTTGTGCCGTTTGCTGTAAGTTCCACCCAATCAGCCCATCTATTCCCCCATAATTGTTGTTTAGTCTACAATTGCAGCCTTGGACTTTGGTTTCTTGTAAACATAAAATGTCTACTTTCCACTTCTAAATGAGGGATTGATAGTGCTTCTCTTCCCCTCCTCATTCAGCCCCCTTATATTCCAACTAAGGACTTCCAAATTCATCTAGACAGTGAGGTGCACTGCCTGCCCCTACTTCCACTACTTTGTTGTTCTTTTTTGTCATAATTGATCCCACAGATTTAATTTTTCCTCTCCCTTCTCCTTTGTTTTTTTTTCCGACTCCCAGACTCCTTTTAATTTAACTCCAGCTTTTGAACTTGTTTTTGTCTTCTTTGCTCCATTCTTAGAACTAAATCTAAGAGATCATGTTCAAAACCTGTAGCATTGACCCCGAAGGCTTCGCATGCCTTAACCATTGTGATTTTTGTCCACTTTGATGTCTCGACTACAGTTGGTTTGTCTATAACCTGTGGATTGGGGTTACCTTCATACCATGTGAATGGTAAAGCTTCTCTTATTGCTATCGAGGGGAAATCTGTATCTGAGTTGAAATAGGCAACCAGTTCCCTGCTTGAGGTGTGTTGTTGCAATAGCCTGTGGATTCTTTCAAGGGTAATTCTTTCATCATCTGCATCTGACTGCCCCACTCCTGATATTTGCTCTACGAATTATGTTTGTGATAGAACACTGAATCTATTAGAAGCTGGGTTGGGTTTTTAAACTTGCCAAATGGTTATAAGTTTAAAGAGTTTGGCCTCATTTAAAACTTTAGCTTTTTCTCTCTTGCCATTTGGGCCTGTTTGGTAATAAATCTGATCAGCTTCTAGGCTCACTTGTAGTTGATTCAGCACTGGACCACTCCCATTAACATTATTAGATTCTTTGACTTTTGCCCTTTTGTCCACTGGGCAATCCAGGTTGTCCCTTTTTGGAGTAAAGTTGTCCTCTTTTGAATTAAAGTTGCTCCTTTTTAAATTAAAGTTGTCCCTTTGTGTCTCTTCATATGATACGAGGTTTGAGGTGCCAACTTCTTCCTTTGACTTCCCTTTCTCGAGAAGAGTGGCTTTTCCGGCGAGACGAACAACCGTATGCAGATCCTCTAAGACTGTGAGATCGAAACCCCAATCTTCTTTGAGCAGCTCTATGGATCTTGTGATTACCTTCATGTTCTTCTTCGCACATATTCGAGCCCATAGCATGTGTGTTCTGTGTGTCGTGTCTTCATCAACTCCAACATAGCCTCCGCACTTATCTCTGATAAATTGAAAGGTTTCTGAAGACCATGCGTGTAGTGGAATTCCAAAAACCTTTATCCATTTATGATCAGATTTCTCTGAGGTTAGCTTTGAGCCAGCCACTGAAGACCACCATTCAAGAGTTAGCTTTCGTCCCTTCCAGAACCACTCACAAGCTTTTACCCTACATGCCTCCAGTATTGATTATGGTTAATGGATGTGACTTTAAGTCCTGCAGTAACTTGCCACCTGCCCACAAACCATTTTTGGATGATCTCTGCATTTGGACTAGTGTTGAATGGGTCTCCTTGACTTAACCCTCGTTTTGCTTCAAAAGGTACAGTTGGTTCCTCTTGTCACAATAGAATAGGAGACTAATGTGAGGCACTCCATAATCCAGTGCACAAATTTTGTTGGAAAATTCATGCGATTCAAAACTTGTTCCGCTAAGATCCATTCCTCTGAATAATTACTTACCACTTGCAATCAATGAGTATTGTACAATAGGAAATGGGTCGAAATTTCTTCACAGAAGATGGACTCTTCACTTTAGGGAGTAGGGTAACTTGTGTGCAATTTATTGGCTTGTAAATGGTTGATCAATTAATGAACTCTATTACAGCAACAACATCTATGACATCTCCTCCAATTACTGGCCATGATTTTATGAAGAAGCATGAATTAAAACCGTCTACACCTGGGGCTTTTAATTCATCAATACTCTTTAGAGCAGTATACAACTCTTCCCGTCTAACGGGCGCTATCAACTCCAGCTTCCTGTTATTAAAGGCTATCAACTCCAGCTGTTGGCTTCTTTTTGGGTAGGAGGTCCTTCAAGAAAAACCTTTGGATCTACAACAGGCATTTGGGTGTTGGCAGTAAGCAAGAGTGACTTGTAGAAAACTGACATCCTTGCTTAACCACAATTTTTGTATGAATATATTATATATATAGTATTGATACATATATTTTGTAAATTTTTCTGACGAAGCGGTGTCGCTTGACACCCCTTCACTGAACATAAGTCTGCCCTGTTGTACTCCTCAATCGTGCTCCATTTTTCTAGTTTCAATTTGAGTGAGTTTTCCGGCTCAAACAATATAGGGTCATGCCTATGATCCCTCATTTGTTCTTGATGAACAGCTAGATCTTTCCTGCATTGGACTACCTTCTTTATCTGCTTGAAGGCGTTTATTTAGGGGAAATAAGGTGAGTTTGATAGCAATAATGGAACACAAGGTGAAGGAACAATGTTGTAAAGAATATAGCCCCAGGATGGGAATGGCAAGTAAACTAAGATCAAAGTACTAGAAATAAAATTTGAATTTTGTGGAATCCAACTATGATGGTGTACACAATGCTTAATATATGAAAGTTTCAAAGCCAGATTCAATACCAACTATTGTTTGTCTAGGTACAATTTTTACTAATCATTTTGGACAATTTCTCACTTTATTTGTTTTTTTTTTCTTCACATGATTTTACTATATATTTTCCATTTTCCTCAATTGCAATCAATATTGTCAATATATTGGTTACTATTTTTGCCTCAATATTGTCAATATATTGGTAACTATTTTTATTTACACATTTCGTGCATAACACTAACATCCACTAGTTAAAAAGCCCTTAAAAAATATGTCCTCTTCATCAGCAGAATCAAAAATGAAACTGGCCAAGATTGTTTTATCGGCCAGTAGGTTCTATTATTGTGACAACCATGTTGGTTTGTTTGATAATCCACAACTACATCCCTTTGGAACTCCATGAAAATCTCTTCTTTGGACTAAAAAACATGTTCACTAAGTTCTTGAATCAGCTAACGATGACGATTGACGAATTTAATGGCCTTGTCAACAACGAAATTCATGAAGCTGCTGAAATTTATTTGAGCAACAAGTTGTCACCTAACATCCATCGACTTAAAACTAGTAAGCCTGAGAAGGAGAAGAATATCAACATCGTCATGGAACGTAATGAGGAGGTAATGTCTTACGCACACGATATATAATGATACATGTTATGGTATTTGTTATGATAACAAATACCATAAAAAATTCTGTCAGAGTTTCTTTTGCTTTCTCGTTTTAGTCAAATTTCAAATTGTATATAATTTCTCTCTTTCTCGTTTTATACATTTCAATTATGCCTTTCTTGCGTTCTCGTTTTATACAATTCAAATTGTATATAATTTCTCTCTTTCTCGTTTTATACAATTCGCTTCAATTGTATATCTATAGCGAATTATACATATATAAGTTTGTTATGGAGCGCAATAATGCAAACTTTGTAATGGCATACATATATGGATTTTATGTTTGCTATATGTGAAAGTTTCCCTACAATAAAGTCGGTGTGACTACTGCTTTATATCACTTACATTAAAGTATAGTGGCACCTTTTTATCATACTCTAGAAGCTAGCCTCCATTTTAACCACCCTGCACCAATGCGATGTATGACTTCCACATCAATCTTTCTGTTGTCTTTGATAATAGTCCCCGGGTACTTGAAACTCCCTTTCTTAGAGATGACTTGAGAATCGAACCTGACTTTAACATTCGCTATATGAGGCACATCATTGAACTTGTGTTCCACGTACTCTCGTGGGAGGGGGGTGGTTGGGACCTACCCTTGGCGAAGGGGTGTCAAGTGACTGTGACACTTGCATGTTCTACTAGCCTTGTTAATTTTTTTTACTTTAACTATTGACACCCCTTAATGAAAATTATGGTTCCGCCATTACGTACTATGTATTATTCTTGCTATGTTTGAAACCTTTAGACTCTAGGATCTGTCTCCACACCTTTAGCTTGTCGTTATCTTTGTTACATGTCTTGTTAATCAGTATAATGTCATCAACAATAAACATGCGCCAAGGCATCTCACCTTGAATGTGTCATGTCAGAACATCGATCCCTAAGTTAAACAAAAATGTGTTAAGAGTCGATCTCTGATGCAAACCCATCACCACTAGAAAGTGACCTGAGTCACCTCCCCCCAACCTCACCCCGGGTCTAAAATCCACCATACATGTCCTTAATAACCCTAATGTACATGATTGGAACACCTCTGGTCTCCAAACATCTCCACAGAACCTCTATAACATTGTCGTATGCTTTTTCAAGGTTAATTGACACCATGTCGAGGTTCCTTTCCCTATACTGCTCCACCTATTTCCTTACGATGTGGATGGCTTCCGTAGTTGATAATACCAGCATAACCGAATTGGTTCTCAGAATTAGAAACCCTCTTCACCTGCATATATATATATATATATATATATATATATATATATATATATATATGTAACCTTGTGCATGCATAGATTTTGTCAGTGGTGCAAACTTACCTTGTTGACAAGTCATGTTGAGTGAGGCACAATTCTAGATACAGTCTTCATTCTGCCTATCTTTAAACTATTTACAACTCTTTCCGGATTGGTGAAGTTGTACAATAAGTTAAAGTTTGTGAATTTTTTAAAAATGGTAACAAAAATTAAATACTTCTACGGAAACCATTTTCTTCCTCATATTCTTTTATTCCATTTTTTTTTCTCCTTATGAAGAAAATTTAGTCAACCCTTTAAGTGAATCCTCTTCTTCATCTTCCACTTAGGGATGACAATGGGGCGGGCGGTTGCATGGAGGGGCAGGTTATTTTTTAAAATACGATTTTGAATGAGAATAATCTCAATACTGAAGATGGTATATGTTTATCATTTGCAGAATCTGCCCTGCCCCAAACTCTATTATAAGCAAAAAATTTACAATGCATTCACACATTGAATAATATAAAGCTCATGGTATGCCATATTTTTCTGGGCACTGCTGATGACTCTTCCCACATTGTCACAACAGTTAATGAACTATATATATATATATATATATATATTATTGTTTCAATATTAATAGTAAATATTGATAACTGGTACATTTATTTAATTAAAAAAATTATACATTATGCGGGGTGGGTTTATGTGGGGAGGAGCAAGGTGGGGCAAAAACAAAAAATTATGCTATGCGGGGCAGAGCGGGACGGGGTAGTCTTTGAAGGTTCATATGGGTTTGCCCTGCATCCAACCCGCCCCCCTCCATTGTCAACCCTACTTCCACTTGTGGTATTTCTACTTTCTCAGGCTTAGCCTCAGCCTCTTCCTTCTCTTTTATCTTTTTGTGAATAAAATTAACCAACCCTCTTAGGGAATCTTCAGCTTCATCTTCCTTCAACAGTTGTTCTGCCACTTCTGCTGGTGTCACATTGGCTGTGTCAATCAATTCCTCAATTTCTTTGAACAATTTATGATCTTTAATCCCCAAGTAATTGTTAGCAAGAAGTTTGAAGCCACAAGGTGTGCAATATGCCATGTGAATGTGCACATCCATTCTGCCAGGTCGTAACAATGCAGGGTCGAGTTTTTCTATGTGATTTGTTGTGAAAATTATGATTCTTTCATCGCCACAGCTTGACCATAATCCATCAATAAAATTCAGTAAACCTGACAAGGTCACCTGCAATAAAAAGTTATATGAGTAAGGTAGAGTATTACAGAATACACTAATACCAAATACAATTTTTCCCAAGAATTGACTCTTAACTTATTCAAGAAAGCCACAAACTAATGGAGCTTGAAATTATTGTAGTTCCATGTAAGTAGAATTTGTAAAAATATGTTAACTAATCCATAGGCTAGGGCACATAATAACAATTGTTCCGAACCCTTTCACGTTCTTGTCATGTCGAAATACTGCATAGATTAGAGGCCAACATATCCTATCCAATTTATGGTAATTGATTAGTTATCCTAAAAACTGTAATAGCAGGATCAAAACCTGTTTTCTTTCCCTTGGCCATGCTCTGACTACAAAGTTGCTACCCGGTAACTAAAATGCATTGCCCTAACTTACTATTGTGTATACAGACTTTTTCTATTTCATCATTTGGTATTTGAAACACACTATCTGATTAATCTGAGTTCCATACCTAGTAGTAATAGCAAAGATAGGAAATGGAAAATAGAAGACTAATTTACCTTGCTTTCTTGCTGATAACCATTTGAATGAGCAAACGCAGATCGATTAGCTAAATTATGTTGCAAGTCAATGGTACAATCAATGTCCTCCACCACCAAAATGGACTTATTGGTTGTTGCAACCAACAACTTCTTTAAATCTGAATTCCTCCTCAGCACAGTCAACTCCAAATCATATATATCGAAGTTCAAATAATTCGCCATTGCAGCAATCAAACTAGATTTCCCAGTCCCCGGAGGACCAAACAACAAATACCCTCTTTTCCATGCCTTGCCAACTTTCTTATAATAATCTTTCCTCTTCACAAATCTCTCCAAATCCTTCAAGATGGTGTCTTTTTGGTCCTGTTCCATTGCAATTGTCCCAAAAGTGGCAGGATGATCGAGATTCACAGGCTTCCACATATCATGTAAATTGTACATGTTTTCATAATCAACTGTGTGAATCTTGATTGTCTTGCTTTCGTGTTTTTGCAGTTTTGCTTCTTTAATGATGTATGGCAAGTAAGAATTAATGACAAGGTCCTTGTTTTTCTTGTGAAATGTCAGCTCAAAGGACCTGATTTCAGATTTTAGAGTGGAATTCATGTCTCTGTGATTGTAGAAGTGTTTAGGTTGTGTTTGTCTGCAGAGCCAAATCCACTTGAATGTCTGTCCGTTATAAACATCTGTCACCTGTTGGAGCAAAACCTTAAGCTTAAAAATCATCACCTTCAGAAGATCTATTTTCTAAAATTATCAAGTTGTTAAATTAAATGCGGAAGCTTACCTGAACTCATGAATATGGATGGATTATTAGGACAAAAAGTCATATGTTTGATTTGGAGACCATAATCCTACTCATAATTATACATAGTTCTCCCTGTCCAATTTACTGGTTCTATCATTAAATTATAAATTATATAAGCATACCTTTACATACACATAAAAACATATACTTTATGATGCTTCTTATGAATATTTTAATGTAAGCGTTAACTAGATTGTCTATGTTGCTCTGACCCTCAAAAGATGTTGTGGCACTCGTGTCAGATCTACCAAAAATACATAGCTTTTGAAGGATCCGATACACATGCGACGATATTTTTGAAGAGTTCAAGCAACATAGGCATGGCTTCTAGTTTAGACGAAAGCTTTTATGATAACAAAAACTATAACATGCAATTATCATTATATGTGTGCAAGACATTACCTCCTCATTACGCTCCATGGTGATGTTGAAATTTTTCTCCTTCGCAGGTTTACTGATTTTAAGTCGCTTGATGTTAGGGGACAACTTGTTGCCCAAATAGATTGCAACAGCATCATAAATTTCGTTGTTAACGAGGCCATCAAATTCGTCAATCACCATCGTTAGCTGATTTGAGAACTTGGTGAACATATTTTTGAGTCCAAAGAAGAGATACTCATGGAGCTCCCGGGGGATGTAGTCGTTAACTATCGTGCGAACCAACATGGCTGTTGCCGCAATAGAGCCTATTGTCGATAAAACCATCTTGGTGGTGGCCATTTTCGATTCTGTTGATGAAGAGGACATGTTCTAGAAGGACTTTTTTGGCTAGTGTGTGCTCAAGATTTTGCTACAAGTTTTAGTGTCGTGATATATAGGTTCTGATCTACAAGAAGGTGAGGGGAAACAGGGTGCAATTGCAATTGAGAAAAATGTCAAATTTATAGGAGAATCATGTGAAGAAAAGAACAAAATGGAGTGAGAAATTGGCCAATAGGAAATAGAAAAAATTGCACCAAGACTAACAATATAGTAGTAGTTGGTATTGACTACGAAGACTTTGAAACTTCCCCCACATTTGCCCACTAGAATTTCCTTGCAGGTTACGCCTTTGCCTATATTTCAAATACACTATTTGTGGGGCTGAGATATTGCTAACGATAATCAGTGGCGAAGTCAAAATTTCGTTAAGGGTATTTATATGAAAAACAAGTTGACATATTTCGTATAGTTTTCAACGAAGGGTATCTGACCAGCCTTAACTATATGTGGTCAAGTCAAGGATAATCAATTGAACACCTTTTGTTAGCAACTTATATAGTGTATATAGGTCAAATATTACTCTATGCATGTATAAACACATTATGATAAATGTTAAATGCCCTTAACAATTTTTTTGACTTTACGATTATCGACATGGCATGTTTCTATTTGTCACTTAATAAAAGATAATATGAGGAAAATGCAAAATATACATGAAATGAGGTTGATGAAAATTACATGGAAGAAGCTTGGGGATTTGAATCTAAATTGATTGAGGCCTTTTGAAGTGTAAATAGGGGTAACAAAGAATTATTTAGTCTTGGTCTGTTCAAGTTTTACCAAATTGACAGACTTGCCTTGTTCATGCGTCATGTCCGGCAAGTCAGTGCTTTAAAGTTTAAAATATTATCGTTTTAATTTATGTGATATAGTTTGAGCAGACATTGAGTATATTTTTATGGACTTTATAAGTGTGTGATTTAGCGCGGATAAGATGTTGAGTATTTTATTAAATATTTATTAAATAAGGGAATATGTCATTCTTTTTTTAAATTAAATAAAGAGACGTTAGAAAAAAGAGTATGAGCATTTTATTTATCTTTAAAATGTAACAAATTTTGTTGGAGTAAACTTACCTTGTCGACAATTTATGCTGAGCTAGGCACGATATTAAATACAATCTTTATTTCACATATCTTAAAAATCATTAACAAATCTTGTAGGATTGATAAATTTATATTTACAAAGTTCTAAAAATGGGAACATCTAAATTAAACACCAACACTTAAAAAGGATATGCTTGGTATTTAAACTTCATTAAAAAAAAATTGGAAAAATGATAAAAATCCCAAGTTTACTTATTACCCTTATCCCCTATTAGTTTTAAAAATTATCTGATATAGCGGTATTAGCTTTCTTGTAATTCTTTCTAGTGATACTTTCAAAAATTATACAACACAACGATATTATGTATTTTTATTGCAAATATACAAGATACACTTATTTATGTATCTATAAATAGTATTAGTGAGTATTTTTCAATAGAGATGACAATAAATACTTTGACATACTTATATAGCATAAATACAATATATATTTTCATGTATTGGTCCACACATAGCATACTCTTCACAAAATCGTTAAGGAAAAATTACATAAATTAGTACATTTTAATAAATAATTACTGATTTTAGCAATATTTTTTATTTATTACCATTTATAACAATGCTATGTCAAATCTACAATATGAATTAAAAGTGAATTATGTATGCAATATATATGAATTATAATTGTTTTTTGAAATATATTATGTTTGTTTGGTAAAAATTTGACATATTGTATTATAAGTGTATTAAAATGTGCGATAAATGTATTATCCATTATTAAAATTTGTATTATATATGAATAATAAATTGTTATTTGTAATATGTATTAAACTTGTATTAAAAATGAATTAAAAGTGATCAAGTGAAAAAAAGATATTATTGCTATAAATGGTAAATATTTTTTTATTTTAGTATATTTATGTAAGTTTCCCAAATCGTTAACCTCCCATATAATTGGGTTACTTATATAGTATAAAGATATACATATATTCGATCTAGTTGGTTGACAACCTATTTTATAATATGTTTTTATATATTTTTAAACCTTTTCTTTTAATTTCTGGTGATTTTCAGTTCGACACTTCTCAAGTTATCCATAATATGTTACTAAAATGATACGATGGAGGATTTAAGATATTATCAAAATATATTTATGTATTGTCATATGGTATAATTGAGATTTAATTCAATAAATCCATGATATTATTATAGTATGTCTATTTAATTTCATAATATCATTGATGTCTACTTCATCCTTCACCGAGACTCTTCAGTATTCAATTATACCATCACAATATAACATCATTGAAGATTTGTTTTAGTTCTTTGTGAGGTACTCATATGTTCTTTAGGATACTATCACAATATTTATTTGTTATGATGATAGCATTGAAATATAGAGAGTATAAGTTTTGTTTTCATTGGAAAAACAAAAAATCCTACAAAAGTTTTTTTTTCATTAGTTTTAATAAACATGCCATTAGACTTTAATATTTTTCTTAATTTTTTTATGGATTAACTACGGAAATTCCACCTTTTAGTTTACTTATTACCATTATTCCCTATAAGTTTTACAAATTTTCAAAATGCCTCATTTTCGCGCATCACATTAATATATCTCGCGTATCAGTTTAGTGTATCGTGTATAAAATGTACCTCGCACATCATATTAGTGTATCTCTCGCATCATATTAGTGTATCTCGCACATCAGAGTGTATCGTGTATAAAATGTACCTCGCGCATCAAATTAATGTATCTCGCGCATTAGATTAATGTATCAATGTTTATATAATTGTAGCCATTTTGAGGGATTTTTGTAATTATAAACTTTTAAGGGATATATTGTAATTTTACCATAAAAGTATGTGATTTCTGTAATTTGCCCATAATTTTATTGCGGTCTACTTATTTTTGTATTTTTGTTAATCTAAACTAATTAGTTAAATTATTTGTTGATGTACTTTTTATTCTAAAAATATATGGAAAGAGCAAAATAATAAAAAAAGATAAAACTACCAAAAAAAAAATTTAAAAGAAGGAAATAAATAATAAATTCATTAACAAATGGTATCTCTATAGAGTATAATATATAAGATAAAAGGCGACAAAAAGATAAAAATAATACATGAGAAAAGAACAAAAACAAAGTAATAATATAAAAGAATGAAGCAATAAATGGAAGAATAAAAAAAGAGGAGAAAAATAGTTTCATTTTGGGTCTATATTATTTAATTTTTTCCTAATGATTTTCCCCAATTTAACAAAAATATTATTTAATTTTAATTGAAATTACCCATTTTGAGACGGATCCCATTTAAACCCGACCCGGTTCATATGAACTTGAAACATAGTTGCCTTTCTCTTCTCCGTCGTATATAATTACAGAAAAAGAAGTCAAAATTGCCGGTGAAATCATACTACCGGCGGCGAAGTCTCCGGGATAGGTGAAATCGGCGGCACTCAAAATTGCCTGATTAGGCTGCGTGAGAGAATTGATTTTCCGGCCAACTGATTTTGAGGAAGGTAAATTTTTCCTAGAATTCCGTCTTATATAGTCTATGAATTGGGTTGCAATGCTTTTACTCTGATCTCACTTCATAATGATAGCCCTTGCTTGAGTTTCTAGTTCTCTGTGCGTTTTTTTCCGCAAGAGCATAAATGATTACACTCTGATTTGTGAGTATGAGTAATCAAATTGTGGAACTTTCTACAGAGAAAACACAGTTAGAACACAGGAGAGTAAATATCTATCATTCTGTACTTGAAGTTTTAGTGCTTGACATGAAATATGATAGTTAAATGGAATTTGTGAGGAAAACAAGCTATAAACTAAGCTAAGCTAAGGCTATTCTAAAGAAATGAAAGGAATAATGCATGTCTTCCAAAATTTACTTGAACTCCAACGAGCATCCATGAGTTTATGCCTCCGAAGTTCCTTGCTTAACAAAGTCATACTGCAAGTAGAAAACAAGCACCGGGGCAATGGCTTTTAACCCAATATCAACGAACTTTCTGTCGGTAGATTTAGTGACTTCTAGAGTGACTGCATTGAGTCTTCTTCTCATGTCTCTACGGTGTTTCCTGATGCCTTGTCAACTGCCTCACCAGGAAAGAAGTAAATATTCTTGAGAAAGTCCTCCAGGATTTGACTTAAAATAGAACCTTTGAAATGTTTTAATCTTCCACTATAATGGAGTACTCCTTTACCATTAGGGTATTTCAAAGCAAGTCACAAGGTAGAATCACATCCATGATGCCATATCTTTTCTTCATTTGAGTCATCAAATCTAAGCCTGCAATATATGTTGTCCCCATGGTTTGACTCCAAGAGCCATGTCATCCTACTAACAAAAGTAGTTTTTTTTTTGTATCATTTTCACCGAGAAATGCAAAAGTTAACACATCTGACAGGCTATGAATCTTCATCATCATTAGTAACTTTTGTTTCATCTCCAGAATGAACCATGTAAAACAGACATTGTTGAAAACTGGAAGTGCAACAATTGGCCTCAAAATGCTGCCAAGATTAGTAGTCCACTTTAGACTTTAGAATTATCTTCATTGCAAGACCATGTTGAAATTGAAGATAGGCATTTGATGCAATATTACCACCAAGTGATACTCTTTACAACTGAGCTTGCTGCCATTCCATATTAATAGCATTGCACAACTTGTTTATGAATTTTAGAATATGCTTCGGCTGCCCCAATTTTCTCCTCCAGTCTACGAGACAACTATATTGCTTCTCATTGGGTGAAACTACAGTGTGATTATAAACTTGAGAGAAAATGATATCCAGAGACTTATATAAGTCATACTTAAGAGGCAGAAAGACCTGGCACAGTAATTAATGCTACTAGCTCCAACCAACAGTGAAGAAATGTCCAAATAAGAATCATAAGAATTAATGATCTGTCTACTAGGGATATGGTCAGCTGATTAATGAAAATAGAGTAGGGAGACAATATCCTTCTCGAGCACCGGAAAGAATCAGGATTAGTATATAGAGAACTTGACTACTAATATCTCCAACTATGGGTATGGTTTATGTTTTCTGTTTATAAGTTGTTACAGCTGGGCTTGTACATGTCTATTGATGAATTGGAACTTGGTAACTTCATTTTCTGTAGAGTTTTACGTGAAAGGAAGAATATCTTCGGTCTTCTGCTGGGATACACCAAACCATTATATACCATTGAAACTGCATCATTTGATAAGGAGAAATCTTCTTATTTTCTCCTGCAATTGAAGGAGTGTCAAAAGTTAGAGATAGAACGGAAGATTTTAAAGATGTTGCACGTCGATCAGCATTGTCTTTGGGATATGATGAGGTACATTAACTTATTCAGTTCATTGCTTTTATCTATTTTTGATTAACAGAATAATATAGTGTGCTGTAAAATGCCTTGAAGAATCTTCATGCTCATATGGACCCTAAGTCCTTTGCCTATTACCTAGAGTTTGATTGTGCATATAGCTTCATTAATTTAGCAGTGTCTTTGGAATATGATTAGGTACATTAACTTGTTCAGTTCATTGCTTTTGTCTATTTTTTATCGACAGAATAATATAGTGTGCTCTAAAATGCCTTGAAGAATCTTCA